TGCAGTAATTTTAAAATGATTGCAACTGGTGCAACAAACGAATTCTTTTGTTTCAAGGTCGAATTTATCAATAGGCTACGCAGCTGAACTACCTTTGGGTGACTTGAACGTTTCCCGGGCATGGTCAAGACAGAATTCCAATAGCGAAGCTAATGCACAGTATTTTTTGGGACCTGCAGCTTGACACAAAATCAGAACGGACAAGACAACGCGCTGTTCGAAGCTGGGTTAACGATGTGAGACTAGATCAATCGATTAGATGATGGCCTAGAACTAGGTCAAGCTGGCTCAAGGACAAAACGACCAGGAATGGTATTGGTCAGTGTTTCTCGTGAATACCTGTATCACGTGAGTGGAAGATCAATAGGAACTGGCGGACGAATGTGCACGTAACGGAGGCCTGCATAACATCGTTTGATTGTGAAAATTTTCAAATTCGATTTGACTTGTAATGAATAGGCCTGGTTGCGGTAATGTATCTTTTCGGTCCCAACGGAGAGGTGGCAAAACTAACGAGGTTTGACTGTATTTCTATTACACATCTGGTTAGGCAAGCGTATCTTGAACCAAATTCCCAATATGTTATTTTATGCGTCTATAAGACCATACAGAATTTTGCTACTTCTTTGCATTTGGCACCCGTCAAATTTAAGAGCAACACGTTATGTGTTTCCCAATTGAGTGCTCCTAAGTATGCACTGCGAAATGAGACGCTTTCGGATAACAGCATCCCGGTCGCACAGTTTTGCCAATCAAATTATAATCCTGGGACGTGTTTTATAGTTTCTAACCTCAGACCTGGTGGATAAACAAAGTAAGTTCAAACAACATGGCCGAGGGGTAGTAACTGTGTGAGGCACCGTTTGACAAAGAAAATCACTGTATCAAACGATACTCTGTGATATACATTTATTCATTCAGCGAGTGGCTTCACACAAGTAGAACGAAAGTGTAAGGCAAACGCGGACATTGTATCACTAGCCAGACATTGACCTGTCCATATTTGCAAGCTCATTGCAAATGATGAAACTCGTTCTTGTTTTTAAGCAACAGTTTACTGGTTTTATAAGTATATTTCAACCATGGAATGTGAATACGTTATTTAAACACGGTACACGGGCTTCGATACAGACGCAGAGTGCAAATGTTTTGATACAACCTCAAATCTCAACAACTGAACCGGTTTTTAGTTCGCCCCTATTCACTGTGCCTACCGGTATTTTCGGTTTCAGGCTCAAAAACCATTCATGTGTGGATTAGTTCCGTTGTCCAGCGAAGCATGCCTTGTGGAACTTCCGACTGTGCTACCGTCTGACGGGGTAACGGATAAAGCAACAATCGCTATGAAACTAGACACACAAGCGAGTATCTATCCAATCAATTTGCAGTGTTCAACATTTGGAGCAATGTACAAATACTCACTGAACTACATATTCCAACAACCCCCACTGACAGTGAAAACGTACACCGGTTAGTGATCGTACAATGTATTCCGTCCGAATAATGCTAGATGCGATAATTTTAACAATATCGTCTCCGAGACTAACTGTCTTAATTGCTCACATATGGCAAATTTCGTCGTGTGCAGAGTGAATAGAGCGCTTGAACTGAAATACTTTGCGGCACTCGCGTGCTGTTTCGACTTGGCTGGATCTAATCAACAGGGTGAATTCATCGATCCCAACTGGGAATCGAATCCGGACCTCAAAGGTAGAACGCAAACATACTACTCGCCAGACCGACGAGCAGCCGATTAAGCCATTTTTCATTTTCCTTATACACGATATAGCACTCTCGATAGTTGTAAGCTTAAAGCACCCATCGCACCTTGTGCATTTGTTCTGTACTAGCCGAAATTCACCACATAATCAAACCCAATCCTCCCCTATTCTGATTGCATTCGAATTACTTTGAAAAATACTAAACGTTTGAACTTCGTATTCGTGTTTGCTTGGGGTTTGCACACTGACACCACGGAAACCCGATCCCGTTTTTGTAAACCCTACACAACAAGAAAAACTGTTACTATTTTCTTCCTTTTTCAACTTAATTGCTTTTATTGAATTCAT